TTCCCGGGTGGGCTTGGAGGGTTGGCATGCAGGAAATCACACTGTGTGTGCAGACTCCAGTTGTTGCTGCGGCGACGGCTACCAGGCGTGGAAGCAAGTGCTTAGCCCTCGGGTCGTGTCTCTTTCCTTTCCTTTGCTTTTTGCAATGCCGGCCTGGACTACGGCTGCTGCTGGCTGCCCCGACGTTCGAGACAGTCTTCGCAGCGGTGCTTCCTCCTGACACCCGCGGCTGCCGATCATCCGGACTTTCGGACCGCGGTGCTGGCAGCGCTTCAGACGGCTCTCGACTGGTACGAGCATGCGGTGCCGGCCTGAGACCAGCTGTCCGCTACAAAGTGTCGTTGTCTGCTGCATGCTCTTGAGGTGCCACCTTCTCCCACGCGCTCCTTCGCTGCGCACGCTGCTTTCACAGGCCCCGGCTCTACATCGCTTGCACGCTCGCGCCGCCATGCTTGCCTCTGCGCTGCAGGTCCTTTTGACGTCTCGGACACTGACTCGGACGTCGCCAAGCCTGGACGGTCGCCAATATTCTAGTCTAGAATTCCAAGTCTTCTTGCACTTTCACAGCGAAGCTCCGCGATTCGCTTTACACTAGCCTGTTCTAGGTCGAGGTCGGTCTGACGCAGCTCTTCCGCCGACTGAGGGACCTTTTCTGTGTTCTGCAAAAAAGTTGGACAGTGCTTGCTACCTCACTTGCAGATTGTTTGAAGGCTCTTCGCGTCTTGCCGGGCAGCTGCGGCGTTCTGGCTAGACTTCTGTAGACGCTGCAGTGGGTGTCTGCGCTGGCGCTTCCTGCTTCTGCTCATGGTGCCGCTTTTGCGCGAAGCCGCGGCGATGTCTGCCGTCGAGCGCCGCGCGTGTTGGCTGGCAGGCCCGCCCCAGGTACTCCGCAGCGTTTCGCTCTTGGCTTTTGCCTGCTGCGAGGCGTCGCTGCTCGTAGCTCCGAGCGTCTCCTCGAGTACGAGCTGCAGGGTCAGCTCATAAACTTCTGCGCCGCGGAGGCGAGAGCTGCGGACGCCGTCTTTTACCTCCGCCACCTCATCCAGCTGCCGTGTCTTCGGTTGGGACAGCGCGGCGCTGTGGCGGAACTGATCGCTCCTCGGCTTCTTGGAGTGCGCTTCCACACCTTTGCGTTTGTGCTGCCTGGTGACCTAGTGGAGTCTTGCTTTGTCCTGCACGGTGAAACGTCCTTCCTGGTGGAGCTCCTCAGCTCCTCGTCGTGCAAACGCAGACCCCGGCGTTGGATCCTGTTCGCTTACCCGGCACGCATGTTTCTCGTGGCCTGCTGCCGCCGGTTAACCCCTTGCCGCGTGACCTGGAGGTCCTCTGGGCGGAGGCCGGGGTTGCGGTTGGACGCAGTCTGCCTGCGTGCATCTCTGTCCGCAGGTGCGCAACGCGCGCTGCACCAATGCCGCCTTGCGCAGCCGTCTGGTTGAGGTTTGGCGTCGTGTCGCCTCACTCGAGAACCGCGAGGGCGCTTTTTTGTGGGAACTAGGCTGCCTCCGAAGCGCGTAGCCTAGTGTACCCTGTCTCGCGCAGCAAAACAAGCCGTCTCCTGCCAGTGCCGGTCTGGTGCCGGTAGTACTAGGGGTAGAAGTATTGCTAGTAGTAGTCGTCGTAGTGGAGCACTAGTAGAATGTCGTCGCGTCGTCCTAGTAGTAGTCCTTCTGCTGCTAGTAGCTGCGCCTCTGCTCAGACGTGCTGCCTTGGCTGCTCTGTGTTTCGCAGACTTTGATCGCCTAGACTTCGACACTGGCTTGGTCCGCCGTGTTGGCTTTTGCAGTCAGTGAGCTAGATTTCGATTTTGCCCTGTTCTCTTCGCTCGCCGCTGCTGTGCGTGCCATGCCGTCTGTACATGTCCAAGAGGTCCAGCGCAGGTGCGGGCAGGAAGCCAGGAAGCCGCGGTGAATCAGTTTTTCTCAGATCTCGAGTCCTTGGAGTTTCCGGACGCGACCCTTCGCGAGCTCTACCCGGACCTTCTAGGGCATTGGGAAGTGGTCGGAAAGCTACAGTCCGTCCCCTGGCAGTGGGTTTGCTCCGTAGAGCTTTCCCTGGCGGGCTTTTTGGCACCCGCCGCGTGTCTTTACCCCGTGCAGAGCATTGCCATCTATGCACTTACATGGGTTTTCCTGCTACACCCCGGCAGCACACAGACATCGGGTCTCTTGCGCTTGTACCAGGACTGCTTGGATGAAATCGAGCGAGCTGTCAACGTGGACCGCGCCGAGGCCGCCACTGAATGGCGTGCCAGCCACCCGAATCCAGAGCCGCAGGAGAAGAACCCTTATGAAGGGCGCGTGAATTTTTCTCTCGGCTCCGGGTCCCTGGAGCGAAGGCAAGGTTGCTTCTCAGGCTTGCAATCTGGGAAGAGCCTGTGCCTTTTTGACCGAGGGAAAGCGGTGGTTTAATTGGCTCTCCGCCGAGGGCAGCCTCAATGAAACGATCGTGACTGAGCTCTTTGAGCGCGCCAAGTGGCGGCGCGTGACGCTGGACGGCAACCGCTCTTTCACGATCATGTTTCCTTTCTTTGCGCTCAGTGGCGCCGTGCACCTCCCGGACATCGCCTTCATGTTCGCTGGCGACGATCCTCTCGGCATTCGAGAGCGTGCGCGCTTCATGTACACCAGGCCGGTTGCTTTTAAGTGGGTTTCCTTGCTTGTCTGTCTCGGCTTTCGCATGGTGCTTTTGTTGGCTCTACGAGAGGCCCGCTTGATGATGCCAACCGTCAGCACAACGCCGACCGGCAGTTCCTCTCGCGCCTCGTGCACCGCTTCCGACCCATCCATGCAGCTCACAGCCCAGATTTCTTGCCACGCGAGGTTTTCGAGTTTGTGAAAGGCTATCCTATGCGTCCCTACGACCTCGAGTCCGACGAGGCCCAGGCCATCTTCGACCGGACCTTTGACCATCACGTGGCCAAGCAAGAGAAGCATTATCTCAGCGAGCATTCCTTGGCGAAGCTACACGGAAAGAAGAAAACTTCCAATCTTCGCTTCGCTCTCCAAGTCCATCTCCTGGACCAGGCCTGCCGCGGTCGTGCTGGAGACGCGTGGGCTTGCTCCCTGCCCGCTCGAGCCCTGACTTTCGCCAATGCTTACGGCGACTACGGACCAGGTTGGCGACTGCGTGGAGGCTTTCTTTGCTTCCATGGTGGCCGACGTCGCGCCGCCTGCCGCTGGAAGTGCAAGCACCCTGGCCAAGTTTCGAGCTCTGGCAGAGACGTCTTTGCAGCAATTCTCGGACATGCCTCTTCAGCAGCGGCGTTTGCTGCTCGGCCTCCTGAAGGTGGTCATGACACATGCTGCCGCGTGGGTCACCGGCTCCAGCCTGCGGTCGGACCGCGAGTTCAAGAGTCTTCTCGAGCAGCAAGCTGAGCCGCGTGAGTCCTGGGACGACAAAATCTGTCAGGTGGGGGCTCTGCTGCGTGGCACGCGCCTAGGGAATTTCTTTCTGTCCACCAATGCGTCGGGGCCCAGATCCTTCTACTACATTCGCCGCAGTCTTCTTGCAACCGAGCCTCACTATATGGACTACGTCAATGTGCTGCAGGCGTTGGGTCTTGCCATTGGTTCTCTTAAAGGTCATTCTTTGGACAGGTTGCGCGAGCAGAAGCCCAGGACTGCTCCGGAGCCTCAGTTTCTTGTCTATGCCTCGCGGGACGAGGCTGTACAGGTGGTCGATGCTATCAAAAAGATAGCTCGGGACGTCGCCGGTCTCTGATGGACGTCGAGCTGTTTGCTTTTTTCGGCGAGGCTCAGGTTGTGAGATCGGGAGCGCCTAAATAGCAGCATCGGTGGCTCCGGGGCTGCTGCCCTGATCGCTCCTGTCCTGCTTCGTTTGTCTGCTGTGCGGCCGACCTGTGTGGACGTTCTTGTGATTCTTGTGCTTGAA